AGAGAGAGAGAGAGAGAGAGAAAGTTGGGAAGTAAATAAAGCTAGTAGTTTTACTTTTTGTAAAAACGATTTGATAGTAACGTTGCAATTTTATGTCGATAAAGATCATTATAACTGAAAGCTATAAAATTGGGAAAGTCATTTTTGAAAAATAACTTATCATTATTAGACATTATTTGTTGAAAGAAAGTAACTCATTACTTGTATAATGCGTCAATGCGTTACTTTTACATATACTTTACATATAGCTCGTTACAAATAATGAGTTACTTTTTTTTAATAAATAACGCTTAATGGTAACAAGCTATTTTTTTCATAAGTGTCTTTCTTATTTTTGACTTTCAGTTAATTATCATCATCAAAAATTATAATATTATTACCAAAACGTTATAATAAAAAGTAACGATAGAAGTAAAAGCGCTATTCATCCCTGTATGATATATATATAAATATATAAATATATGTTTGTACAAATCCAAACTATATACATATAAGTTTTGGTCAATCGCTTTTGTATATATAGAGCGGATTAAACTGAGTTGAAAAGTCCTCTACTATTTTGCAATTTTCGCAATAGTTAACAAGATATTAATTGCTAAAAATTGCCAAATATTGATCTTGAATAATTTTTTACTTAAATACTATCAATTTTACAGAAAAACTGTGAGAACGTTATTTATATTCTTCTCATAGAACTCTATAAATTTTTTTAGAATTTTTTATCAACTTTTTAGTACTACATTTTGTTATTTTTATCAACCTGAGAACAATATTAAAAAATACTGAAAAAAATTTTTAGAACTGTATGAGAAGAAAATAAATGATTTTTGTCTCTTGCAGTTTTTCTGTAAACAGTAAAAAATTATTCAAGACCAATATTTGGTAATTTTTTAGAAATTAATATCTTGTTAACTATTGCAAAAATTGTAAAATGGTAGAGGACTTTTTGACTTAGTTCACTCCGCTGTGTCTATAAAAAAACGATTGGCCAAAATCTTACGAGACACCCTGTATATATTATGTTTGGACAATTCAAATATTCAAGTACGTATTTTTTTGTTATCTGTGAGATATGCACCGCGCACGTATCTTAAATTACTAAATTTTGAATGCTAGAATTAACATTGAGTAGCTTTATAATAGTTTTATAAATTTTTTATGTAAATATTACTCATAAACGTATATATTACTCATAAGTAATGAGGCCCCAATTTCCCATGCCGTCAACTACAAAGTTTGGTATCAAGACGTGATCCATTTTGGGTACTTTCTGGGAACTATTGGTATATTGAATCAAAAATTTTACAACTTTTTCAGCAATATTGTGTGCCAATGTTACTTTCGTTGTCAAAGATTTACACCACATATTGATGGTATTGTTCGCATTGGGAACTTTGATGAAATCGGACATCACAATCGCCACAATATAAGTGGACATTATAGGTGTAGTCTTGAAATGTGTATGTATCATGTCTTTTTGCTTTACCAAGAATTGCTTTTGTATTGGCATATTTGATAGTACACTATAATTCTGATAATGCAGTACAGAGATGTTGAAGGTGGCTTTTAATGCTGGTTCGTCCCAACATGGAAACATTCGTTTGGCGCCATTCGGCTCGAAATGTGTTACAGCTAACCATTTACTGTTTAATAAAATGTCTTAAATAATAGCAAATTTTTTACTTATATCTTCTAATATAAAAATTTAATAAAGACTAATTACTATTTATTATCATTTAGTATTATTAGATGTAATACAAATTTTAACGATGTAGCAAAAATTAAGATTGATACTGTCCGGGAAAAAAATGTATCTATGTGGACATATTTTACAATATATATAATTATATATAATTG